TTTTGTAAGGAAGCATCGTTTTTTATACATTTTTATGCGGCGGCCTGCCTCCACAATATTGCTTTATGCAAATGACAAAAAATTGCTTAAGCTGAATTGCCTATGCTTATCTTACGGCTTAACGGTACAGAATCTCTTCAAGGGAAAACTGAATTTAAGACACGATAATTATATCTGTATCAGACGTCCTTTACAGTGCGCTTGCTTGATAGAGGGACATCTTCCTCTCTCCAGGATTAAGATTGCTTGCAATTATGTGCTGTGTGCTACAAGGTGATGCAATGTGCGAACAAATGTTTTACCTGTTTTTCATGTTATGGAATTTTGCGGCAAAAACGCTTTCACCTGAACACGAATTGTGTGTTTTTATCTTCATCTGAGGACTTTGTTTGCCATCAGGTTGGGCAAGAAGATTTGAAAGAGGTTCCCTGGTATGACCTTGATGCTCAGGGACTATAAGGTAATGCATCGATATTGTTAAGGGGAAAAAAGTATCAATTCTTTAGAAACAGGGGCATATGCTTTTATTCAAATTAATTTCATGTTGTCGAGTATCATTTTTGATAAATACCACATCTCACGACGTTTTCAAGTAACGGTTTATTGTTTACAAGCAATTATTCCTGGAATGTGTGATGTTGAAAAATATATGAGTCTCGTAAATCCATATAAATTGGAGAGAAAGACATCGTGCTGGAGCAGATTGGCAGAGCAGGCAATTTGATGACGCTTTTAAGCTATATCTACGCAGACTTAAGGAAAAACAGGAAAATTGAAGTGACCATGAAACTTAGGACCTCTCTTAAAATTTTTACTGAAGATACAGGCCTAGTCTTGACTAAATTACTAATCATACATATACACTGATCATTTCTTTAGAAACCAATTTATTTTTTTCGCCTGAAGTGTTTGTAACGAAGTTGTTGACTTTATCTTTTGTTGTTACGTGAGGCATTAAATACAACACCGTTATATTCTTTCATGAACTACCTTCCAGTTGATTCCCCCGCCGTCTTTATTCATTTCTCTTTCTTCCTCTTTCAATTTCTAGAGACCTTCTCTCCGTTTACATTAACCGCAGTTGCGTAAGCATCGTGACGGCATGTCAATCATCTCAGTTCTTCTATAAAACACCTAACTCAAACTAGGCTGTCAAATAAAAAGCATTACATGTCGTCAACTTTGATTTTAAATCTCATTAATTTATAAAACAGCTATGAGTAAATTTATGTTTTGACACGAAACTGTGCTTTTGGGAGATTGTGTTCGCATTTTACACACGTAAGAGTTGCGATTTAATTCTAGAAAAGAAGGAAACCCAACAGGCGGAGACATGTGCACACATGGCGGGAAATAAAATATGCGCAGATACGATGAACCGTCAGCATACATACAAGTATAACAAACCATCCTCTTCTCTGACACACTGAATTATTTCGAAAGCTTTATTTTTGACGGTTTAGATGCAGTAAAACATTACAAAAACTCGATTATTTCTAAAAACATATGCTCACTGCACGCAAATGCGATTTTCACGGTACGATTTTCGTGTACTGGCGCCAAACTCTAGCGCTGACACAGGCATGTGTATACTTAATACTACCTCTACTCTCAACAGTGTACCGGTGATTTTATTACCTTGTCACCACAACATGCGATACCAACGTCACCAGTGCGGTTTTAAGGATACAAAACGGAAATCAACTTCCATTGATACTAATTATAACAACCCCACCGAAGATTTTTTATTTTTACCGCAAGGCACGCAATGTATACGGGTGTGTTGAAGCATGATAATTGCTACTGGAAAACATTTACCTAACACAAACTAGTTAGTTACTAAGTCTGTTTTAAGTCGGAGAAAGCAATCAACATTATTATATGCAAGTTTAACTAAGCGTAATTTGAAAGTTTATGCATATATATAATCTTATATTTAGCCAAACCAAGTCTACTATATTTACAGACATGTAAGTCCATGATTCGAGAAAACGAGATTCAAATTGGTAAAGTCTACATATTTTGAGCTAAGCTGTTCTAGGCACTCTGCCGTGTACGTTGTATATGTAGCCACAGAAAAATTGTTCTTCGTTTTATCACACTGGAATTAGTCAACCTATAACGGGCGACTGCCGACCACCATATTGTGACTGTCATTTACAGCAATAGTAAGGGCAAAATACAGTATAATGAACATACTCTGAAATAAAATGGAGTGTATTCCCAACAGAAAACTGCATGTGCCAGTTCACCCAGGTTAATAATAATAATAATAATAATAATAATAATAATAATAATAATTTAAAAATCAAACATGAAACTTCAGATAACATTATGGCAAAGCTATAGGCATGATCAACAAGGGGGATTTATGTTTATATATCACTCTCACACAATGCTCACAGACATGGACGTCTCAGACGGGGGTCTCTCGACCGATTCCGTCACTTAATGAAATACGGAATCACCCGAGTTTAGCCGAATTCAGAACACCTGTCGGGGACACTGTACTCCGTGTCTGAAACACACCCCACCTCAGCGACCTCTACAGGTGTGTTCGCATTATTTCTTAGTGCTAAACGTCTTTATCGTTGTCATTTCATGACATTAATCAAATCATCAATCATTCGCGCAATCACTTGGCAAGCAGTTTTCTCAGATTTCCAAGAAGTAATGATAAATTGGACTTCACAGCTGTACACTGCATTTTGTACATAGAATATCATGATTGGTATTTTGATGATTTGGATAGGCTTGTTAGAAGTATCAATAAAGAGGACCTTGCCTATCTTTCTAGTAATTATTTCGTACATTGTTTTACGGGATATTACTCGACAAAACAGAGGATAGAATGTAATGCATTTTTACCAATAAATATCCTGAAAACAAATGAATTGGAAGCAATAAAAGTTGAGCAGAGTATCCCTGATGAACGTAGTCTAGTTTAAGTACACACATACTAATCACATGAACAGTGACAAATGCACGAAGCCGCTAGGGAACAGGGCCTTGGATTAGAACAAGTTGTACCGTTGACAGCGAATCATTACTCAGGATATGACTACAAGGTAATGAGAATACAAATTGCAGTGAAATAATGAAATACATCGACTCCCGTATCAAAGCGAAGACCATTAACTCCAAAGCTAATCGACTAAAACTAGTTTATGTACACAGGCCGTGTCGACGTTGTTTTCCGAACTATATGGGAATAGCTTAAAAGAACTAAATTAATGAACAGGATATTAATGGCGACGGTTTGATTGCGTGATCTCCTTCGGCTTCTGGGATTATTTCAAGCTTGAAGAGCTACGTGATGGAGGAGAGAATAGGCCTATTCCTACTATACAGGGTAGGAATCAAGTGAAGGATAAATGTCGGGATTATCTTTTGCGGATTTTTCCCGCCAAAATGAATTTTACTCGGGGAAGAAAGTAGTTTTCTCTTGCTTACAGATCATTGCTCGACCCGCCCCTACTATAAGATTGGCTATTTTGTTCCATTTTTAATTTGATAATTTTGTTCTAAATGAATGGGCAGTCAATTAGAACGCCTTGAGGCGTTTCATACTTTTTAAGGTCTGAATTGGAAAAGATACTGTGGAAAAAATCTTTTGGAAGATTTCAAACGCGTACAGACCACCTCTAAGCAATGTATACACATGCATTTTTGTCGGTAAGAGCGTATAGACATTCTTTATCGGTATTTTATTGACCTTAACCTTGGTATTGTATCTCGTGACACGAAAGGCGTTAAATGGTGCAATCGTTTCATCTGTAACTTTATTTAACTTAATTTTTTTCTGTTCTTTATTGGTTATTATTTTTATGTTTCCAAAATGAAAAGATTGATTACTGCACTGCAAAGGAAATAAAACATTGGCATAGGATAACTATGCACTCTTTGGTTCTTGTGTATATTGGATACTAGTCCCAGTGTGTTAAAGTGTGCACAAGTACAGGTCTACAATTTTTTTTTCATTTGGGTATACCGTACGCTTTAGAATATGTTGTAAATCATATTTTCTGTGTCTATATGTATCCATCCAAGCTACTTACTTTTTTTCCAATACAGACTTTCAATATGATAAATTTCATCACGCAAAAGTACCAAATGTTCGATATTTAGGGTCCGATATGTACCTCTGAAATGTCAGAGTAACAAAGCAATCTAATCGAGATTAGTTTAGATTGAAGTTATTAGAGATGGCATAAAGCAGCTTATCAAAGTGAAGGGATGGATCAAGCAACGCTACGTGAGTAAGATATTTTCTAATGAAGAAAATCCGATTTGACGCGAAAATCCCGTACAGAATTCAATGAAACAAACGAGCCGTCCATTTTTCTTGCAACATACATGTAACAAGAGTCCTGATAAACAGGTGTCCTAGAAAATAAAAAGAAAATTGCTTTGTATGCATGTTCAAATCAGGTAACCTTTATTCCATGCATTACCTTCAACTGGATAAAAACGTGGTGTATTTCTCCATAGTTTGTTTAAACCATCGTTTTCCTCAGGTTAATTTGACGGCTGTTTATGTTGGAACAGGCACTGCATTACTATGAGTTGAGCGCATTTAAGGGCACCTGCGCTCCTTAAAGTGAAAGTGTTCCAAGAGAGTGCCTTGCCACCATTACACTTTGGCTCGACTCTATTTATTTTCCCACCTCAAAGTAATACAGAGGAAACTACTGCCCAGAATTTTAGGAGTCCCCAGCAGGTTGGTCAGATCTTGTTCACAGCCTGACGAACTTAAAACAGAAATCACTAATTTACATCATCATGCGACTAAAATCTTATGGATATTCTCCGCGCATTATAAATGCTAAACACGTATGCAAAGCAGTTTTGTGGCTTCAGTTAATATACGTGTATATTTCCAGTATAAGCTAGTTCGGCTGTAAACACAACTTGAATTTCTGTCGTCAACTGATTTGTTTTAGATCTTAATTAGCGCCGCTGTGAACGTGCCTCGATTTAGCTTTGGAGTGTAACAGAAGGTGGCAGAGCAAGGAGACTGAAACGAGATCGCACGCCACAAGTGCCGTATTTCCAGTGATATCTAGGAACAATCTCGCAATTGTCTTCGCCTCTTGGGACTCGAGGTGAATTAATCTGAGACAGTATGTGTTTGTAATATTGACTTAGTAGTGATCAGACGCAACGCACCGTCTGTATCTCAAAGACGCGAGCCGAGCTGATTAATGAAGACGTGTTTGTTTAGCTGTTTGCAGAAAAACAGACTGATAGCTACCCAAATTTTTCACTTCCAGACAATATCAAATGTAAAATGACAGGAATCCCTCAGGAAAAATGAAGCTTTTTGCGTGGAGTCTGTTAAGGTAGGTTAAGATTCAGATGTATGTCAAACAAAAGATCACAGTGCCGGGATATTTCTAGAGGATGTAAACCATATTTCAATTCCGTAATGCCAGCGTAAGGTTACGTGAGCCGTGCGTGAGTTTAACGTAACTGACGTTGGCGTGACGTTAAAACAGCTCATATATCTCATAAATGTGGCTCTGGGAGCGCAACCTCTGTCGGTAATACTTTGCAATTTATCTTTTTATTGACGCAAGCTCTCTTAATGTGTTACTGACCCGTAGCCAGAGGGGGAGGGGGGGGGGGGGCGTTCGAAGGGACCGCCCTTTTTGCCAGGGAAAAAGTCCGCTTTGGTTAAAATTGAATGCTGGTACATGAAAGTTTCATGGTAAAAGGTCCACTAAATTTTTAAAAAATAATAATAAAATTAAATAAAACTCTTATAAAATGCTGGCTACGGGCCTGTGTCAAAATAATCAAACACGCGTTATGCAAACCGAACTAAATATCTGGCTGGATATATAACAGCAGGCCCGTAGCCAGCAATTTTAAAAGGGTGTGCTTTTTCTGAAAGAGTGGAGCCTTTTCCATAAAAAGCTTCATGTACCTAGATCAAATTTTACCCAGAGTGCACCTTTTCCCAGCAAAAAGGGCGGTTCTTTCGAACCCCCCGACCCCCCCCCCCCTCCCCGGCTACATGATGTTTTCTGTATTCGTTAAGAGCCCAAATTGCAATCTTGTTTTAACCATGCGGTGTACAGATCTAGCGCACAAAGAAAAAGGCTGGATAGCGTGAGTTCCTCGTTGTTATGATGCAAGGCAAGCCGTTTAACGAAAACATGACTTAGCTGAACACAAAACTTCATGTACAGCGTACAATTTCTAATGTGATGACGTTAGAGTCGTATTTTCAAGACGTCGTCTGTTTCTAAATTTTCTACTCTAAATTGATTAGATCCGCCTTTCACAAAAAGAAAAGAAACACCTATTTTTAATTAGATCTCACGCAATGTTTACCGCAGTGTAATGTGTCTGAAAATGCTACACAAACAGTCTCGAAAGTGCAGATTGTCGTATTTGTCTCATTGCATTTAAAGCTATATTTACAGAACGTTGCATCTTACAGATAATACTGCTTTGAAAGGTTCTACCACGCACATTAGACATTTGAAAACGCAACAAAAGAAATGACCTCCTTTCACAGTAATTCAACAAGCCCGAACTGTTTAGATATAAACTCATGAATTGGCCCTTCGAATGTTAGACCCCATTCCCTCAGACACACCATCGATCAAAGTGGATCGACCTAATTCTGTGGGAACTCTCGCTAAGTGCAATCAGCTTAACTGTGTGACACGTCTCCTTTTGTTTTCGACGTACTCACGTAATCACCATCTTTTCTGTATTCTACTCAACGACAGGAGGAGGCGTATAATTTGTTAAGCTGATTGCACTTAACGGGAGCCCCCGCAGAGCTGGACCGACCCACGTACGCCGATGTGTCTATGGGAATGCTCCCTCTCAACACCTCTACCAATTATTCTTGTGGACATTTTTTGCTGACTGAGAGCCAAAATGACTGTCTATTTATCTAGAGACATATCTGTGAATATCTGTGGAAAATCAATCTGTCGCCCTGGTAGAGAGTACCCTCTCAATACGTCTCTTTTGCCTATTGCCCAGAAAAGCAAGTTGTAAATCCCTCAAAACATACCAGTAAAGCTGTAACGCAATGTTATAAAGGACAATCGTACAAGAACAACAACCGTTGGCACTGCTTCAGTTAAATTCACCCTGACTCTTAAGGCTTCAAATAGAGATTATTTTATGCTGTAGTGCATTTGCAATCTTGTACAACGTCGCATTTGTTAATAGCGGTGTATTTGTTAATAACCTTAAAATTAGATTGTTGCAAATGATATGGGTGCAAGTCGACAGCATTAATTGAGCTAAAAGGCTTGAAAATACAGTAGGTATTGTGTGAGTAAAGTAAAAGTAAATATGTTGTGCGTGGATAAAATGGTTACAAGACGGGCTTTGTTCTCATTTTGCTTTTGTAATCTGAGCAAATAAAATAACTTTTAAGGCTTTTGGTGCAGAGGCAAAAGCAAAGAAGCCGTTGAATATTCCAGGTAAAACGATTAACGGGAAAATGTATCCTGTTTCAAAAATGGCTGTCACTCGCCTACCGGTAACATTGTAGCTAGATTATTAATGTTGTGTTAATCGATTTCTGATTTATCTTTAATAATTAAAAGAATAATAATAATAACAATAAAAACAGCTGCGCATCTTAAGGCAGATTTTCAGGGATAGCTAGAGAACCGCATTTCAATCCCAGTGACAACATTGCTTTCATCACGACCGGCGTCACTTGAGTCGATCCGTCTCTAAAACCACTCTGTGTGGATTAAACGCATCCGCAAAGTAGGCGCAACTCTCCTACCATATTAATGAACTTGCCCGTATGCTAGCTACACTGCCATATGATGATACGCTTTACGCTGGATAGAGGTTAACTTAATTGACTTTATCCCGGCGTTCTGGGAACAGACAAGTGCGTGCTCGTGCCTTGGGAACAATCATAAGTTGCGGCAGTGTTTGGACACTATGATCAGTATTGTGTATGCACTCGAGCGTCGATAGGGACGATTCATTATTAATAACGACGGCATACCTGACGTTGGCGTAAATGTTCAGTCCCACCTTGGACTAGCATGGATCATCGGATTAACGAAGGCGACGCGTGTATAATCAAGTTAATTTCGTTTAGTCTGTCAATTGACGTGAAGATAGGATAGGTTAAAGGCAAAGGTGAGTTAAAGTCTCATAGTTGTATATTTATGTGCTACCAGTTCATTTGACTGTATTAAAGTAGAGAATATGAAACGTGTGTTAACAAACGCGTGCTCGTGAAGTTTAGATAGACCCGTGTTTAAATCTGACGGGAAAGGTTATTTGTTAAAATGTGATCAGCTGATCCGTGATGTAAATTACACTTTGCGTTATTACACAACAAGTGAGAGATAAAAATCTGTATATGTAGGTTTGGGACAGTCGCTTGATTGCAATACCCTGTCTGAAATACCTTTGTCATGCCGTTCATATTATTGGGCCCTTTGATTCGCTACTAATATCACTTATTAAAAATTGGATTGTTAGAATCTACTATTATTGTTAATAATATTTCTTTAACACTCGTAATACTAGCTGAAAATATCCTTTCACAAGTGAATGCCTTTTGCTGTCTTGTGGCAATGATACACTAAGGCCAAATGAAATTGAAAACCACTATTTAAGTGTATAAATAAAACAACGTTTATGATATATGGGTAAGGGTGTACACAGAAATAAAGAGACAAGCAAATACGGGAACAGATGTATTAATAGATAGATAGATAGATAGATAGATAGATAGATAGATAGATAAATAGATAGATAGATAAATAGATAGATAGATAGATAAATAGATAGATAGATATATATATATAGATAGATAGATATATAGATAGATAGATAGATAGAAGGGCCCATTCCCACAGACACCATCGGTCTATGTAGGTCGACCCAACTCTGTGGGGACTCTCGCTGAGTGCAATCAGCTGAACTGAATGCCACGAGGAGGAAACAAGAGGAGGCGTGTTAATCTGTTAAGCTGATTGCACTTAGATTAATGGGTTTGCTTATGGATGGATGGGCGTGCCACCGGGTGGACAGATGAAAATAAATAAAACATATATGTAATGAAATTGGTCGCCTAGGAAGAGGTCCACTGTCATGATATTAAAATATGTATATTGTGATTAATACTAGGTACTATATAACAGGAGAGGGCTGTATTGACATCAAGAAGTGTATTAATCACTAGAGGATAGCTGAATCTTTGTATATTTTGTTTATAAGAGCGTTCCTTGTTAACATTCATATTTTGATCTAAAATGCAGAAGCCCTATTTTTTATTCATTTATTATTTATTTATTTTATTATATATATATATATATATATATATATATATTTTTTTTTTTTTTTAAGTCGCATTTGATGAAGAGCATTAAAGCTGTAATAGGTCTTAAATAGAAATGAAAAAGTTGTTTATCGAATGGCAAATAATGGAAAGGGTTCGGGGAGAAGGGGATAATTCAATGACGCGTTTTTTCCTCCGCTTTCACGGCCATTATTTTTCTCTGTGATTCATACATGTAATACTCACTCGAATGCTGATCATTATAATGTTTGTTTTCCACACTCAGTGTATTTTTTATTAGTTGTGGTATGAATAAATGAGTACCTGCAGCATTTGCTTCACAAAGTGGGAACCAAAAGGCCGATTTCTATACATATATTTTAGAGCAAACAAACAGCCGATGGTGGCCAATTTCAGATTATATATTTGTATTAACACCACTGGCACTGGTATGTTGGGGGCTTACTATTAACTGTAAATCCGAAAAGGATCTTATGCGTGTCTTTACAAAATAAAACCCCATTGTAAGAAATTTCAGTGAACAAAAGCCAAATGGTGTCAGCAAGACTTAGTGTTTTGACTGCAAGCTGACAATGATGGGGAAAGGACATATTTGATGCTGTTCACTTAGGCCGCATTCAGAAGGATAGACTTACCAGATCAAATATGGCGACCCACTAAAAAGCTTGCTGTTTAATCCGGTTTAATCCGGTGAGGAAGTATTCAAGTGGGCCGGCCATATTTGACCCTCGGACTAGTTAGTGTACTGTTTTGTATGCGGCATTAGACTTGCGCTTAGTACTTCAAGGCAATGATGCGTGGTATCTCAAATAAGAACCAACGACCTTACAATCGTGAGAGGACGAATGAAAATGCATTTTGATTGAAAAGTGACTTACGTCAGTAATTGACGTAGAAAACCAATTCATTTCCCCCAAATGTGATTTCTAATTATATTGTGGTCTAAAAGATCTGCAATTACAGACGTTTACATCACTTTAGATAGATATGTAAGTCTTCTAAACGATAACCATGAAATTGATTTCTACATTTGTA